TCTCTGAGGGTCCGCTGTTGGGGTTTTGTGAGTTGAGTTGTGCATGTTTAATTTCATGCTTTTTCTTAGAGTTTTATTGTGTAGTGGGGCCCCTGTGTTTGTATGTATAGGTGTTGAAGTCAAAGACTTGCTTTCCAAATACAACATAGCCATTTGGAATACTGGTGCCAAATGTCTAGAGTCTTAAGACTGCAGAGAGTAAATCACAGCAGAAAAGCTGACTCTCGAGGAAAATTCTTCCAAAAAGTGACGAAGAATGGCGTTATGGCGTTTTGGAGGGAAACTCTTTGATTTGATGTTGAAATCAAGTTCATTAGTGCACAGACTAACCCTCTCTTTTTTTCTTTTGCAGTTTTTTTTTCTTTCTTCCCTGTCTCTTGTCCGAGTGTACTTGCAGGTATTGACGACGGCCGGGACGGGATGTTCTCTGAGGGTCCGCTGTTGGGGTTTTGTGAGTTGAGTTGTGCATATTTAATTTCATGCTTTTTCTTAGAGTTTTATTGTGTAGTAAGGCCCCTGTGTTTGTATGTATAGGTGTTGAAGTCAAAGACTTGCTTTCCAAAATGCAACATAGCCATTTGGAATACTGGTGCCAAATGTCTAGAGTCTTAAGACTCCCGAGAGTAAATCACAGCAGAAAAGCTGACTCTCGCTGAAAATTCTTCCCAAAAAGTGACGAAGAATGGCGTTTTGGAGGGAAACTCTTTGATTTGATGTTGAAATCAAGTTCATTAGTGCACAGACTAACCCTCTCTTTTTTTCTTTTGCAGTTTTTTTTTCTTTCTTCTCTGTCTCTTGTCCGAGTGTACTTGCAGGTATTGACGACGGCCGGGACGGGATGTTCTCTGAGGGTCCGCTGTTGGGGTTTTGTGAGTTGAGTTGTGCATGTTTAATTTCATGCTTTTTCTTAGAGTTTTATTGTGTAGTGGGGCCCCTGTGTTTGTATGTATAGGTGTTGAAGTCAAAGACTTGCTTTCCAAAATACAACATAGCCATTCGGAATACTGGTGCCAAATGTCTAGAGTCTTAAGACTGCAGAGAGTAAATCACAGCAGAAAAGCTGACTCTCGAGGAAAATTCTTCCCAAAAAGTGACGAAGAATGGCGTTATGGCGTTTTGGAGGGAAACTCTTTGATTTGATGTTGAAATCAAGTTCATTAGTGCACAGACTAACCCTCTCTTTTTTTCTTTTGCAGTTTTTTTTCTTTCTTCGCTGTCTCTTGTCCGAGTGTACTTGCAGGTATTGACGACGGCCGGGACGGGATGTTCTCTGAGGGTCCGCTGTTGGGGTTTTGTGAGTTGAGTTGTGCTTGTTTAATTTCATGCTTTTCTTAGAGTTTTTATTGTGTAGTGGGGCCCCTGTGTTTGTATGTATAGGTGTTGAAGTCAAAGACTTGCTTTCCAAAATACAACATAGCCATTTGGAATACTGGTGCCAAATGTCTAGAGTCTTAAGACTCCAGAGAGTAAATCACAGCAGAAAAGCTGACTCTCGAGGAAAATTCTTCCCAAAAAGTGACGAAGAATGGCGTTATGGCGTTTTGGAGGGAAACTCTTTGATTTGATGTTGAAATCAAGTTCATTAGTGCACAGACTAACCCTGTCTTTTTTTCTTTTGCAGTTTTTTTTTCTTTCTTCCCTGTCTCTTGTCCGAGTGTACTTGCAGGTATTGACGACGGCCGGGACGGGATGTTCTCTGAGGGTCCGCTGTTGGGGTTTTGTGAGTTGAGTTGTGCATGTTTAATTTCATGCTTTTTCTTAGAGTTTTATTGTGTAGTGGGGCCCTGTGTTTGTATGTATGGGTGTTGAAGTCAAAGACTTGCTTTCCAAAATGCAACATAGCCATTTGGAATACTGGTGCCAAATGTCTAGAGTCTTAAGACTCCCGAGAGTAAATCACAGCAGAAAAGCTGACTCTCGCTGAAAATTCTTCCCAAAAAGTGACGAAGAATGGCGTTATGGCGTTTTGGAGGGAAACTCTTTGATTTGATGTTGAAATCAAGTTCATTAGTGCACAGACTAACCCTCTCTTTTTTTCTTTTGCAGTTTTTTTTTCTTCTTCCCTGTCTCTTGTCCGAGTGTACTTGCAGGTATTGACGACGGCCGGGACGGGATGTTCTCTGAGGGTCCGCTGTTGGGGTTTTGTGAGTTGAGTTGTGCATGTTTAATTTCATGCTTTTTCTTAGAGTTTTATTGTGTAGTGGGGCCCCTGTGTTTGTATGTATAGGTGTTGAAGTCAAAGACTTGCTTTCCAAAATGCAACATAGCCATTTGGAATACTGGTGCCAAATGTCTAGAGTCTTAAGACTCCAGAGAGTAAATCACAGCAGAAAAGCTGACTCTCGAGGAAAATTCTTCCCAAAAAGTGACGAAGAATGGCGTTATGGCGTTTTGGAGGGAAACTCTTTGATTTGATGTTGAAATCAAGTTCATTAGTGCACAGACTAACCCTCTCTTTTTTTCTTTTGCAGTTTTTTTTTTTCTTCTCTCTGTCTCTTGTCCGAGTGTACTTGCAGGTATTGACGACGGCCGGGACGGGATGTTCTCTGAGGGTCCGCTGTTGGGGTTTTGTGAGTTGAGTTGTGCATGTTTAATTTCATGCTTTTTCTTAGAGTTTTATTGTGTAGTGGGGCCCCTGTGTTTGTATGTATAGGTGTTGAAGTCAAAGACTTGCTTTCCAAAATACAACATAGCCATTTGGAATACTGGTGCCAAATGTCTAGAGTCTTAAAACTGCAGAGAGTAAATCACAGCAGAAAAGCTGACTCTCGAGGAAAATTCTTCCCAAAAGTGACGAAGAATGGCGTTATGGCGTTTTGGAGGGAAACTCTTTGATTTGATGTTGAAATCAAGTTCATTAGTGCACAGACTAACCCTCTCTTTTTTTCTTTTGCAGTTTTTTTTTCTTTCTTCCCTGTCTCTTGTCCGAGTGTACTTGCAGGTATTGACGACGGCCGGGACGGGATGTTCTCTGAGGGTCCGCTGTTGGGGTTTTGTGAGTTGAGTTGTGCATGTTTAATTTCATGCTTTTTCTTAGAGTTTTATTGTGTAGTGGGGCCCCTGTGTTTGTATGTATAGGTGTTGAAGTCGAAGACTTGCTTTCCAAAATACAACATAGCCATTTGGAATACTGGTGCCAAATGTCTAGAGTCTTAAGACTCCAGAGAGTAAATCACAGCAGAAAAGCTGACTCTCGAGGAAAATTCTTCCCAAAAAGTGACGAAGAATGGCGTTATGGCGTTTTGGAGGGAAACTCTTTGATTTGATGTTGAAATCAAGTTCATTAGTGCACAGACTAACCCTCTCTTTTTTTTTTTGCAGTTTTTTTTTCTTTCTTCGCTGTCTCTTGTCCGAGTGTACTTCCAGGTATTGACGACGGCCGGGACGGGATGTTCTCTGAGGGTCCGCTGTTGGGGTTTTGTGAGTTGAGTTGTGCAGGTTTAATTTCATGCTTTTTCTTAGAGTTTTATTGTGTAGTGGGGCCCCTGTGTTTGTATGTATGGGTGTTGAAGTCAAAGACTTGCTTTCCAAAATGCAACATAGCCATTTGGAATACTGGTGCCAAATGTCTAGAGTCTTAAGACTCCAGAGAGTAAATCACAGCAGAAAAGCTGACTCTCGAGGAAAATTCTTCCCAAAAAGTGACGAAGAATGGCGTTATGGCATTTTGGAGGGAAACTCTTTGATTTGATGTTAAAAACAAGTTCATTAGTGCACAGACTAACCCTCTCTTTTTTTCTTTTGCAGTTTTTTTTTCTTCTTCCCTGTCTCTTGTCCGAGTGTACTTGCAGGTATTGACGACGGCCGGGACGGGATGTTCTCTGAGGGTCCGCTGTTGAGGTTTTGTGAGTTGAGTTGTGCATGTTTAATTTCATGCTTTTTCTTAGAGTTTTATTGTGTAGTGGGGCCCCTGTGTTTGTATGTATAGGTGTTGAAGTCAAAGACTTGCTTTCCAAAATGCAACATAGCCATTTGAATACTGGTGCCAAATGTCTAGAGTCTTAAGACTCCAGAGAGTAAATCACAGCAGAAAAGCAGACTCTCGAGGAAATTCTTCCCAAAAAGTGACGAAGAATGGCGTTATGGCATTTTGGAGGGAAACTCTTTGATTTGATGTTGAAATCAAGTTCATTAGTGCACAGACTAACCCTCTCTTTTTTTCTTTTGCAGTTTTTTTTTCTTCTTCCCTGTCTCTTGTCCGAGTGTACTTGCAGGTATTGACGACGGCCGGGACGGGATGTTCTCTGAGGGTCCACTGTTGGGGTTTTGTGAGTTGAGTTGTGCATGTTTAATTTCATGCTTTTTCTTAGAGTTTTATTGTGTAGTGGGGCCCCTGTGTTTGTATGTATAGGTGTTGAAGTCAAAGACTTGCTTTCCAAAATGCAACATAGCCATTTGGAATACTGGTGCCAAATGTCTAGAGTCTTAAGACTCCAGAGAGTAAATCACAGCAGAAAAGCTGACTCTCGAGGAAAATTCTTCCCAAAAAGTGACGAAGAATGGCGTTATGGCATTTTGGAGGGAAACTCTTTGATTTGATGTTAAAAACAAGTTCATTAGTGCACAGACTAACCCTCTCTTTTTTCTTTTGCAGTTTTTTTTTCTTCTTCCCTGTCTCTTGTCCGAGTGTACTTGCAGGTATTGACGGCGGCCGGGACGGGATGTTCTCTGAGGGTCCGCTGTTGAGGTTTTGTGAGTTGAGTTGTGCATGTTTAATTTCATGCTTTTTCTTAGAGTTTTATTGTGTAGTGGGGCCCCTGTGTTTGTATGTATAGGTGTTGAAGTCAAAGAATTGCTTTCCAAAATGCAACATAGCCATTTGGAATACTGGTGCCAAATGTCTAGAGTCTTAAGACTCCAGAGAGTAAATCACAGCAGAAAAGCTGACTCTCGAGGAAAATTCTTCCCAAAAAGTGACGAAGAATGGCGTTGTGGCGGTTGTAGTTAACAACACTGTTTCAAGTTCAACACTGTATATTCCTGGCTTATTTATTACCAAAATGACTGTGGCGATTGCAGAGTTCACGTAAAAACTGCAACAAAGCAAAAACAAAACTAACTCTAATTAGAATACAAGTATCTAAAATAAAGGAAAATCACTAATCTAAAATGTGCATCAAAAATAGTAGCAATAAACCCTCAAAAATGTAAGGTCAAAGGTCATCTTAGCAGTGAAAGTGCACTCAACAATAATCATCTGATGCAAATAATGTAATGAAAATCTAGCCTTAAATTTACCCAAATCACACTTATGTAGCACAAAAACTGCAATAATATTAAGTTCTCTAATAATCAATCTTCTTTACCTCTGTCCTCGGGTCCTGGGGTGGAAGGATGATCGAATTATACTGAGTCAAAATACGAGTCAAAAATTTAGGACACAGACATGTGTCATCAATAAGGACCATGAATCTGTGGTAACAATGAAGAGCGCCCTCATGAGTTGTGGAGAGCGCCACCATGTGGCAAGCTTGGAATAACTCACCAGCAGTTACATGGCTCCCCTAATTTGACCTTTCAAATTACTTAACAACATTAACAATTTTAACATTAAACTTGACTAAAGGCGCAAAACTGGAAATAGTAACTACTATACTACTGAGAATGTGAACACTACGTGGCTCCTTTAAGTACAGTTCATGTATCGGCTCAAGTTCAGGCATTTGGCTCCTCGTCGGGGCGTCCCTGGTCCAACAGTAGTACAACCTTATGGATAGGCCTCTCGAAGACAGATCGACCAGTTTGGAGCTTGACCTTCCTGATGTGACCGTCTGAGCTTGGGTACGTCTCAACCACACGAGCGAGTTGCCACTGGCATCGGGGAGTGGAGTCGTCGACCATCATGACGATGTTGCCTATCTCCAGATTCTGCTGAGCCTTCTGCCACTTCTTCCGCTCTTGTAGGGTCGACAAATACTCAGTCTTCCAACGTGACCAGAACTGGTTGGCAAGGTACTGGACTCTGCGCCATCGGCGTCGGCAATAAAGATCTTGTTGGATGAAGACTCCTGGCGGAGGGAGAACTACCTTGCTTTTCAGCGTTAGCAGTTGGCTTGGCGTGAGGGGCTCTTCTGAATCTGGGGCCACCATGTCAACGTAGGTGAGAGGTCGGCTGTTCACAATTGCTTCAGCCTCGGTCATGAGGGTCCTCAAGAGCTCATCATCCAGTTGTTGCCCATGTTTCTGCAGCAATGTTGAGAGCGCCTGTCTGATTGAACGGATGAGCCTCTCCCATGTGCCTCCCATGTGACTGGCTGTGGGAACGTTCATATTGAATGTCACCCAATCACAACTGTCCTTTAGCAGCTCTTGAGATATCTTGGGTTGATCCATCTCGGCTAGGGCAGCGTCCAGTTCATTCTTTCCACCGATGAAGTTTGTGCCTCTATCGGAGCGGAGTTGTCTCACTGGACCCCTTCTACATGTGAATCTGCGGTAGGCATTCAAGAATGAGTCGGTGTTCAGCGAATTAGCTGTCTCGATATGGACTGCACGGGATGCCATACAGGTGAAGATGACCCCCCATCTTTTTAGCTCCTTTCGTCCTTCTTTAATCATGAAGGGACCAAAGTAGTCTACAGCGCTATAGGTGAAGGGTGCGGATGGATCCAATCTGTCCTTGGGTAGTTCTGCCATCTTCTGCCCACAGGGAGCATGTCTGAGTTTGCGGCAGGTCACGCACTTCCAAATATGGCTGGTAACAGCTGATCTTGCCCCCAGAATCCAAAAGCCAGCTTGGCGAATGCTATTCAGTGTCATGCCACGGCCTGAGTGACAACTCTGAACATGGTAGTGTTCAATCACCAGGTCAGTCACGTGGCCATGACGTGGAAGCAAGATGGGATGCTTGATCTCTTTAGGTGCTTTGGCTTGCTTGATGCGTCCACCGACTCTCAACAGCTTCGTTTCATCTATGACTGGGTCAAGCATATACAGAGGACTGCTCTTGTTCAGGGGGTTTCCTGGGCCTTGCTGCTCGCCATTAGGAAGACCATCGGGTTTGCTGAGGGCTCGATTTTTCCTTTGGAAATGCTTCCTCTTGAGTTAGCCTCAGTATCAGTCGTTCTGCATGCTGGAGTTCGTCTACAGTGAGGGGGGTGTTGGCATCAGGTGCAGTAGTAGCTGTTTTGAAGCAGCGATCTCTAAGCTTCTTCATGTAGCGTTGGCACAATGCTACTGCACGTTTCAGGCGAAACCAGTTTGAGTAGGACTGGAATCTTTCAAGCATGCTCGGGTAGTTGGAGGTCTCAGTGTGGACATTGAATGCAGATGCCTTCTTCACCTCTGGGTCGTTTGAACTTGGCTCCACGTACTCAGTGTCAGGTGGAGGGGTTTCTCTTTCTTGCAGGAAACCTGGACCACTCCACCAGAGTTTGCTCTTGATGAGCGACTTGGCAGAAAGACCTCGGGAAGCTGCATCTGCTGGGTTAGTTTTAGTGTCAACATGTCGCCAATCTTCAGGTGTGGTGTGATCTCTGATCTTCTGCACGCGGTTGGCGACGAATATGTGGAACCTCTTGCTGTCATTGGCAATATACCCGAGTACGACTCTGCTATCAGTGTAGTAGAACTGAGTCACATCGCTATACTCTAGTTCCTTCATGAGGAAAGTACTGACTTTCACCGAGATGACGGCTGCTGTAAGTTCCAGTCGAGGGATGGTAACTGGCTTCGAAGGAGTTACTCTGGACTTTCCCATGACCAGAGTTGTACATACACTTCCTTTGTCGTCTATCAGTCGCAAGTAGCTACACTGACCATAGCCTTCGGTACTGGCATCGGAGAAGTGATGCAGTTCTGCTGACTTGATGACATCAAACTTCTCAGGCTTGTAGCATCGTGGGATATTCAGTGATGCCAAATGCAGGATGTCGTTCCTCCATTTCTCCCACTCAGATCTGATTTCCTCTGAGATTGGGTCGTCCCATGCATACCCATCACGACACAAGGTTTGGAGAATGCGTTTTCCAACAAGCAAGACTGGTGCTACCAGACCAAGTGGATCAAATATGGAGCTGACGCTCGACATGATGCCGCGACGAGTGGGTGGTTTGTCGTTGAAGTGGACTCTGAACTGGAAAGCATCGGATTCAACACACCACTGTACACCTAGAGTACGCTCGATGGGAAGGCCTTCTGAGAACACGTCAACGTTCTGAACATCCTTGGCTCGTTCACTGAGAGGTATGGAATTCACAACCACCTTGTCATTGGAGATGAACTTATGAAGGTGAAATCCACTCTTCTGACACAGCCGTCTGCTGTCTTCTATCAACTTCAGGGCTTCATCGGAAGTTGGGACTGACTTTAGTCCATCATCGACGTAGAAGTCCTTCCGTATGAAGTCGGCTGCCGCCGTCCCACAACTATCTTCGTATGCATCAGCAGCACACTTCAGTGCAAAATTTGCACAAGCTGGGGAAGAGGTAGCGCCGAACAAGTGAACCGTCATTCGATATTCATTTGGGGACTGGTTCATGTCACCTCCTGGCCACCACAAGAATCTCAGGTAGCTGCGATCTTCCACGTTGACGCCAACTTGATGAAACATGCCTTCGATGTCACAGGTGAAGGCGACGTGGTCCTTCCGAAATCGGCAAAGAACCCCAACAAGATTGTTGGTCATATCGGGTCCCTGCAGTAGGTGTCGATTCAACACTTCACCCTCGTATTCAGCACTGCAGTCGAAGACGACTCTGATCTTGTTTGGTTTCTTGGGATGGTATACCCCGTGATGAGGTATGTACCACACGGCCTTGTTGTCCAGGTCAAGTTCCTCGTCCGGAACCTTCTCTGCGTAGCCCTTTTCGATGATGTTTTCCATGAAGGTCTTGTAATCATCTCGATATTTTTGGTTGCTCAACATCTTCATTTTTTGCTTGTTGAGCCGCTTCAGAGCTACTGGCTTGTTGTTGGGGAGCTGGACATCTGTTTTGAGTGGGAGGGGCATCTCAAAGTGGCCATCATCACGTCTGTGGATACCATCCTTCATCTTCTGCATGAACTTTCGGTCATCGTGGGAAACCATTTCTTCGGTGTCTTTCCCGATGAAGTCCATCTCGAACATTTTTGTGACTTGGAGGGGGCTGACTTCTTTCACCTGGGTGCGAAAGGCGAAGTGGCCTTGTTGCTCCTTTGATGCATTCGAAATTCTGCAAACATTGTTGCCACCGTTGTCATGACGCATCATTCCTATCACTCCCCATCCAAGGGCTGTTCTGACTGCATATGGGGCATCTTCCTCTCCATGGACGACATCTCTCGGCTTGATTGCGCGAGTTGCATTGCAGCCAATCAAAAGTCCGATCTCGGTTTCACTCAGGTAGGGAGGTAGCAGGTTGGCGACTCGTTTCAAGTGAGGCCACTCCTTCACGGTGTCCAACTTCGGAATCTGCTCACGGTTTGCATTGATAGATTCTCTGGAGTAGGCGCCTGGTAATTGTATCTCGGTGTCCTCGGACAATCCCTTGACAGTTAGGCCATGCACCTTTTTGGATGATATAGTGCCCTTCGCTAATATTGTAGACAGACTCAGCTGGACTGCCTCTCCATCGATTCCGAGCCTTTCTAGTGTCCAATCTGAGACGAAGCAAGAATCGGAATGTTCATCTAATAGGGCGTATACTATCACCTTCGCAGAGGGTTCTTTGATGTGATGAACGACGACGGGAACGATGAGAGTGTGTGAGCAATTTTCTCCGACGTCAAGTGTCTGCACTCGATGTGTGGTAGATTGAACAACAACCACTTCTTTGTCATCGGTGTCATCTTTGGTCTGCACATCTGGAGTGGACTTGGAGAAGTCGTGCAGCAAAGTAGGGTGGGAGCGCCCACAGACTGCACACTGCTTCTTGTGGCGACACTCGCGACTTCTGTGACCCCATTTGAGGCATCCAAAGCAAAGGCCGCTCTTCTTGATGAGGTCATGCCTTTCACTAAGGCTCATGGCTGCAAAACTGCTACAGGAATCGAGTTGATGTTGGCTCTTGCAGAGGGGACATGTTGATGCCTTGTTTGCATTGGGTGAAGGGGGGGTGTTGCCCTTTAGGGGGCTAGTCTTCTTCTTCGTTGTGAGCTCATCTGCCTTTGAGGCAAATGTCGTGGATGTTCCCGACTTGGTAGGTTTGACAAATTTTGTCAATTCCCTCTTCTCGTCCATCGGTTTTTGGTGAAAGGGGCTACAGGCAATGCGAGCCTCCTTTGCGATGAATTTGCACAGCTCGGCAAAGGGCGGGTAGTCACCTTCCTCTGCATCCTTCTGGCCATACATGCACTGGTCGACGAAACGAAGCCAACGACCCTGCACCTGCCTCGGTAGCTTCTCTATAATTTTCTTGTGCTCGGCTGGGTCGTCAAGAACCTTTAACTGGCTCAGAGTTGACATGGCTGTTTCGCACTGGAAAAGGAAATCTGAGAGATTACGCAGTCCTTTTCCATCGTCTTGCTTCACGGTCGGCCATTTGCTTATTTTCTCACGATAGGTGCTTGCAGCTAGCATCTTGTTACCGTACCGCTCAGTCAGGAGTTTCTTCGCTTTCTGGTATGCGTTCTCACTGTTCAAGGCGAGAAGTCCTTTGATACACTCTCGGGCCTCACCAGACGTGTATCTGCCTAAATAGTATAGGCGGTCGATTGGTGATGTGTAGCGCTGCTCTACCAGGACGGAAAAGGAATTCATCCACACGGGGAAGTCGAATACACTGCCTTTGAAGATTTCTGGTTCTTTCTTAGGCAATTTCTCCTCCCGGTGTGTGAGCACATCTGCCAGTGCTGTGATGGCACTTGCCACATCGTTGCGGGGTACATCACTGGTCTGTGGGGGGAGAACTGCGTCAGATGAATCCGACATTCCAGTAGGTGGAGTAGACATAGGGGGTGGGGTTTTAGGGAAATTGTCACCATCATTCTGTGTGTCTCGAAAGGTATTCAAAGTCCCATGTTCTAGTTTGCGAGCACGATGTTGTGGACTATCGTTTGGTGCGTTCTCAGCTTCTGCCTCGGTAAATGGCCCATCAATTATTGGGGGGAGGTCATTTACATCATTCAACTGCTGAGGGGACTCACCATCAAACTTGTCCAAAACTTCAAGTCTTGCGCTGCTCACATTAATCTCTGTCTGGAGTCTCAGCTGATTCGCTCGTCTTTGAAGTTCCAGTCGTGACATCTCTATCTGCTGCATGAGTCGTTGATTTTCCATTTCTAATGTTCGTCTTGATATCTCCAACTCATGTGCTTCATTGATAGCTGCAGACCGAGCAGTAAGCTCTGCTCTCTTCTGCTCCTCTGTTATACGAAGCAGCTCTGTGTTTGAGTGTCTTGAGCTGGCTCTCGAACTGCGACTGCCATGGCTGAGAACTGAAGCCGAATCACCAAGCTGTATATCATCCGTGTCTGACATCTTATCCCAAGAAGAGTTTTTACTGTGGCGGTTGTAGTTAACAACACTGTTTCAAGTTCAACACTGTATATTCCTGGCTTATTTATTACCAAAAATGACTGTGGCGATTGCAGAGTTCACGTAAAAACTGCAACAAAGCAAAAACAAAACTAACTCTAATTAGAATACAAGTATCTTAAAATAAAGGAAAATCACTAATCTAAAATGTGCATCAAAAATAGTAGCAATAAACCCTCAAAAATGTAAGGTCAAAGGTCATCTTAGCAGTGAAAGTGCACTCAACAATAATCATCTGATGCAAATAATGTAATGAAAATCTAGCCTTAAATTTACCCAAATCACACTTATGTAGCACAAAAACTGCAATAATATTAAGTTCTCTAATAATCAATCTTTCTTTACCTCTGTCCTCGGGTCCTGGGGTGGAAGGATGATCGAATTATACTGAGTCAAAATACGAGTCAAAAATTTAGGACACAGACATGTGTCATCAATAAGGACCATGAATCTGTGGTAACAATGAAGAGCGCCCTCATGAGTTGTGGAGAGCGCCACCATGTGGCAAGCTTGGAATAACTCACCAGCAGTTACAGGCGTTATGGCATTTTGGAGGGAAACTCTTTGATTTGATGTTGAAATCAAGTTCATTAGTGCACAGACTAACCCTCTCTTTTTTTCTTTTGCAGTTTTTTTTCTTTCTTCCCTGTCTCTTGTCCGAGTGTACTTGCAGGTATTGACGACGGCCGGGACGGGATGTTCTCTGAGGGTCCGCTGTTGGGGTTTTGTGAGTTGAGTTGTGCAGGTTTAATTTCATGCTTTTTCTTAGAGTTTTATTGTGTAGTGGGGCCCCTGTGTTTGTATGTATGGGTGTTGAAGTCAAAGACTTGCTTTCCAAAATGCAACATAGCCATTTGGAATACTGGTGCCAAATGTCTAGAGTCTTAAGACTCCCGAGAGTAAATCACAGCAGAAAAGCTGACTCTCGCTGAAAATTCTTCCCAAAAAGTGACGAAGAATGGCGTTATGGCGTTTTGGAGGGAAACTCTTTGATTTGATGTTGAAATCAAGTTCATTAGTGCACAGACTAACCCTCTCTTTTTTTCTTTTGCAGTTTTTTTTTCTTTCTTCGCTGTCTCTTGTCCGAGTGTACTTCCAGGTATTGACGACGGCCGGGACGGGATGTTCTCTGAGGGTCCGCTGTTGGGGTTTTGTGAGTTGAGTTGTGCATGTTTAATTTCATGCTTTTTCTTAGAGTTTTATTGTGTAGTGGGGCCCCTGTGTTTGTATGTATGGGTGTTGAAGTCAAAGACTTGCTTTCCAAAATGCAACATAGCCATTTGGAATACTGGTGCCAAATGTCTAGAGTCTTAAGACTCCAGAGAGTAAATCACAGCAGAAAAGCTGACTCTCGAGGAAAATTCTTCCCAAAAAGTGACGAAGAATGGCGTTATGGCATTTTGGAGGGAAACTCTTTGATTTGATATTAAAAACAAGTTCATTAGTGCACAGACTAACCCTCTCTTTTTTTTTTTGCAGTTTTTTTTTCTTCTTCCCTGTCTCTTGTCCGAGTGTACTTGCAGGTATTGACGACGGCCGGGACGGGATGTTCTCTGAGGGTCCGCTGTTGAGGTTTTGTGAGTTGAGTTGTGCATGTTTAATTTCATGCTTTTTCTTAGAGTTTTATTGTGTAGTGGGGCCCCTGTGTTTGTATGTATAGGTGTTGAAGTCAAAGACTTGCTTTCCAAAATGCAACATAGCCATTTGGAATACTGGTGCCAAATGTCTAGAGTCTTAAGACTCCAGAGAGTAAATCACAGCAGAAAAGCAGACTCTCGAGGAAAATTCTTCCCAAAAAGTGACGAAGAATGGCGTTATGGCATTTTGGAGGGAAACTCTTTGATTTGATGTTGAAATCAAGTTCATTAGTGCACAGACTAACCCTCTCTTTTTTTCTTTTGCAGTTTTTTTTTTCTTCTTCCCTGTCTCTTGTCCGAGTGTACTTGCAGGTATTGACGACGGCCGGGACGGGATGTTCTCTGAGGGTCCACTGTTGGGGTTTTGTGAGTTGAGTTGTGCATGTTTAATTTCATGCTTTTTCTTAGAGTTTTATTGTGTAGTGGGGCCCCTGTGTTTGTATGTATAGGTGTTGAAGTCAAAGACTTGCTTTCCAAAATACAACATAGCCATTTGGAATACTGGTGCCAAATGTCTAGAGTCTTAATACTGCAGAGAGTAAATCACAGCAGAAAAGCTGACTCTCGAGGAAAATTCTTCCCAAAAAGTGACGAAGAATGGCGTTATGGCGTTTTGGAGGGAAACTCTTTGATTTGATGTTGAAATCAAGTTCATTAGTGCACAGACTAACCCTCTCTTTTTTTCTTTTGCAGTTTTTTTTTCTTTCTTCCATGTCTCTTGTCCGAGTGTACTTGCAGGTATTGACGACGGCCGGGACGGGATGTTCTCTGAGGGTCCGCTGTTGGGGTTTTGTGAGTTGAGTTGTGCATGTTTAATTTCATGCTTTTTCTTAGAGTTTTATTGTGTAGTGGGGCCCCTGTGTTTGTATGTATAGGTGTTGAAGTCGAAGACTTGCTTTCCAAAATACAACATAGCCATTTGGAATACTGGTGCCAAATGTCTAGAGTCTTAAGACTCCAGAGAGTAAATCACAGCAGAAAAGCTGACTCTCGAGGAAAATTCTTCCCAAAAAGTGACGAAGAATGGCGTTATGGCGTTTTGGAGGGAAACTCTTTGATTTGATGTTGAAATCAAGTTCATAAGTGCACAGACTAACCCTCTCTTTTTTTCTTTTGCAGTTTTTTTTTCTTTCTTCCCTGTCTCTTGTCCGAGTGTACTTGCAGGTATTGACGACGGCCGGGACGGGATGTTCTCTGAGGGTCCGCTGTTGGGGTTTTGTGAGTTGAGTTGTGCAGGTTTAATTTCATGCTTTTTCTTAGAGTTTTATTGTGTAGTGGGGCCCCTGTGTTTGTATGTATGGGTGTTGAAGTCAAAGACTTGCTTTCCAAAATGCAACATAGCCATTTGGAATACTGGTGCCAAATGTCTAGAGTCTTAAGACTCCAGAGAGTAAATCACAGCAGAAAAGCTGACTCTCGAGGAAAATTCTTCCCAAAAAGTGACGAAGAATGGCGTTATGGCATTTTGGAGGGAAACTCTTTGATTTGATGTTAAAAACAAGTTCATTAGTGCACAGACTAACCCTCTCTTTTTTTCTTTTGCAGTTTTTTTTTCTTCTTCCCTGTCTCTTGTCCGAGTGTACTTGCAGGTATTGACGACGGCCGGGACGGGATGTTCTCTGAGGGTCCGCTGTTGAGGTTTTGTGAGTTGAGTTGTGCATGTTTAATTTCATGCTTTTTCTTAGAGTTTTATTGTGTAGTGGGGCCCCTGTGTTTGTATGTATAGGTGTTGAAGTCAAAGACTTGCTTTCCAAAATGCAACATAGCCATTTGGAATACTGGTGCCAAATGTCTAGAGTCTTAAGACTCCAGAGAGTAAATCACAGCAGAAAAGCTGACTCTCGAGGAAAATTCTTCCCAAAAAGTGACGAAGAATGGCGTTATGGCATTTTGGAGGGAAACTCTTTGATTTGATGTTGAAATCAAGTTCATTAGTGCACAGACTAACCCTCTCTTTTTTTCTTTTGCAGTTTTTTTTTCTTCTTCCCTGTCTCTTGTCCGAGTGTACTTGCAGGTATTGACGACGGCCGGGACGGGATGTTCTCTGAGGGTCCGCTGTTGGGGTTTTGTGAGTTGAGTTGTGCATGTTTAATTTCATGCTTTTTCTTAGAGTTTTATTGTGTAGTGGGGCCCCTGTGTTTGTATGTATAGGTATTGAAGTCAAAGACTTGCTTTCCAAAATGCAACATAGCCATTTGGAATACTGGTGCCAAATGTCTAGAGTCTTAAGACTCCAGAGAGTAAATCACAGCAGAAAAGCTGACTCTCGAGGAAAATTCTTCCCAAAAAGTGACGAAGAATGGCGTTATGGCGTTTTGGAGGGAAACTCTTTGATTTGATGTTGAAATCAAGTTCATTAGTGCACAGACTTACCCTCTCCTTTTTTCTTTTGCAGTTTTTTTTTCTTTCTTCTCTGTCTCTTGTCCGAGTGTACTTGCAGGTATTGACGACGGCCGGGACGGGATGTTCTCTGAGGGTCCGCTGTTGGGGTTTTGTGAGTTGAGTTGTGCATGTTTAATTTCATGCTTTTTCTTAGAGTTTTATTGTGTAGTGGGGCCCCTGTGTTTGTATGTATAGGTGTTGAAGTCAAAGACTTGCTTTCCAAAATACAACATAGCCATTTGGAATACTGGTGCCAAATGTCTAGAGTCTTAAGACTCCAGAGAGTAAATCACAGCAGAAAAGCTGACTCTCGAGGAAAATTCTTCCCAAAAAGTGACGAAGAATGGCGTTATGGCATTTTGGAGGGAAACTCTTTGATTTGATGTTAAAAACAAGTTCATTAGTGCACAGACTAACCCTCTCTTTTTTTCTTTGGCAGTTTTTTTTTCTTCTTCTCTGTCTCTTGTCCGAGTGTACTTGCAGGTATTGACGACGGCCGGGACGGGATGTTCTCTGAGGGTCCGCTGTTGAGGTTTTGTGAGTTGAGTTGTGCATGTTTAATTTCATGCTTTTTCTTAGAGTTTTATTGTGTAGTGGGGCCCCTGTGTTTGTATGTATAGGTGTTGAAGTCAAAGACTTGCTTTCCAAAATGCAACATAGCCATTTGGAATACTGGTGCCAAATGTCTAGAGTCTTAAGACTCCAGAGAGTAAATCACAGCAGAAAAGCTGACTCTCGAGGAAAATTCTTCCCAAAAAGTGACGAAGAATGGCGTTATGGCATTTTGGAGGGAAACTCTTTGATTTGATGTTGAAATCAAGTTCATTAGTGCACAGACTAACCCTCTCTTTTTTTCTTTTGCAGTTTTTTTTTCTTCTTCCCTGTCTCTTGTCCGAGTGTACTTGCAGGTATTGACGACGGCCGGGACGGGATGTTCTCTGAGGGTCCGCTGTTGGGGTTTTGTGAGTTGAGTTGTGCATGTTTAATTTCATGCTTTTTCTTAGAGTTTTATTGTGTAGTGGGGCCCCTGTGTTTGTATGTATAGGTATTGAAGTCAAAGACTTGCTTTCCAAAATGCAACATAGCCATTTGGAATACTGGTGCCAAATGTCTAGAGTCTTAAGACTCCAGAGAGTAAATCACAGCAGAAAAGCTGACTCTCGAGGAAAATTCTTCCCAAAAAGTGACGAAGAATGGCGTTATGGCGTTTTGGAGGGAAACTCTTTGATTTGATGTTGAAATCAAGTTCATTAGTGCACAGACTTACCCTCTCTTTTTTTCTTTTGCAGTTTTTTTTTCTTTCTTCTCTGTCTCTTGTCCGAGTGTACTTGCAGGTATTGACGACGGCCGGGACGGGATGTTCTCTGAGGGTCCGCTGTTGGGGTTTTGTGAGTTGAGTTGTGCATGTTTAATTTCATGCTTTTTCTTAGAGTTTTATTGTGTAGTGGGGCCCCTGTGTTTGTATGTATAGGTGTTGAAGTCAAAGACTTGCTTTCCAAAATACAACATA